GAAGCAAGGAGGACATATTATGAAGCAAGGAGGACATATTATGAAGCAAGGAGGACATATTATGAAGCAAGGGAGGCATATTATGAAGCAAGGAGGACATATTATGAAGCAAGGAAGACATATTAAGAAGCAAGGGAGGCATATTATGAAGCAAGGACATATTATGAAGCAAGGTGGACATATTATGAAGCAAGGAGGATATGTTATGAAGCAAGGAGGCATATTACGAAGCAAGGAGGCATATTATGAAGCAAGGAGGACATATTATGAAGCAAGGAAGACATATTAAGAAGCAAGGGAGGCATATTATGAAGCAAGGAGGACATATTATGTAGCAAGGGAGGCATATTATGAAGCAAGGAGGACATATGATAAAACAAGGGAGGCATATTATGAAGCAAGGAGGACATGTTATGAAGCAAGGAGGACATATTATGAAGCAAGGATGGACATATTATGAAGCAAGGAAGACATATTTAAGAAGCAGGGAGGCATATTATGAAGCAAGGAGGACATATTATGTAGCAAGGGAGGCATATTATGAAGCAAGGAGGACGTATTATGAAGCAAGGAGGACATATGATAAAACAAGGGAGGCATATTATGAAGCAAGGAGGACATATTATGAAGCAAGGAGGACATATTATGAAGCAAGGAGGACATATTATGAAGCAAGGAGGATATGTTATGAAGCAAGGAGGCATATTATGAAGCAAGGAAGACATATTATGAAGCAAGGAAGACATATTAAGAAGCAAGGGAGGCATATTATGAAGCAAGGAGGACATATTATGAAGCAAGGAGGACATATTATGAAGCAAGGAGGCATATTATCAAGCAAGGATGCATATTATGAAGCAAGGAGGACATATTATGAAGCAAGGAGGACATATTATATAACAAGGAGGACATATTATGAAGCAAGGAGGACGTATTATGAAGCAAGGAGGACATATTATGAAGCAAGGAGGCATATTATGAAGCAAGGAGGACATATCATGAAGCAAGGGAGCCATATTATGAAGCAAGGAGGACATATTATGAAGCAAGGAGGACATATTATGAAGCAAGGAGGACATATTATGAAGCAAGGAGGACATATTATGAAGCAAGGAGGACATATTATGAAGCAAGGAGGCATATTATGAAGCAAGGAGGACATATTATGAAGCAAGGGAGGCATATTATGAAGCAAGGAGGACATATTATGAAGCAACGGAGGCATATTATGAAGCAAGGAGGACATATTATGAAGCAACGGAGGCATATTATGAAGCAAGGAGGACATATTATGAAGCAATGGGGGCATATTATGAAGCAAGGAGGACATATTATGAAGCAAGGAGGACATATTATGAAGCAACGGAGGCATATTATGAAGCAAGGAGGACATATTATGAAGCAAGGAGGACATATTATGAAGCAAGGAGGACATATTATGAAGCAAGGAGGACATATTATGAAGCAAGGGAGGCATCTTATGAAGCAAGGGAGGCATATTATGAAACAAGGGAGGCATATTATGAAGCAAGGAGGCATATTATGAAGCAAAGAGGACATATTATGAAGCAAGGGAGGCATATTATGAAGCAAGGGAGGCATATTATGAAGCAAGGAGGACATATTATGAAGCAAAGAGGACATATTATGAAGCAAGGGAGGCATATTATGAAGCAAGGAGGCATATTATGAAGCAAGGAGGACATATTATGAAGCAAGGAGGCATATTATGAAGCAAGGAGGCATATTATGAAGCAAGGAGGCATATTATGAAGCAAGGAGGACATATTATGAAGCAAGGAGGCATATTATGAAGCAAGGAGGACATATTATGAAGCAAAGGAAGCAAATTATGAAGCAAGGAGGACATATTATGAAGCAAGTAGGCATATTATGAAGCAAGCGAGGCATATTATGAAGCAAGGAGGACATATTATGAAGCAAGGGAGGCATA